TGTGATTCAAGCTGGTATCCCAGCAAACAGTCATATTATACTCCATGAGCCTCCCGGACAGTCACTGTAAAATCACCAACCACAAATAGAAGGCCATGCATTCCAAGAGTCTCCTCTCTCTACTTTGTTCAACCAGTGTGATCTGTCCAAATAATTTGAAGTTACAGAAAACGTACATAGCAAGTATTAAAGCAGCAGGTGCTGGAAGCACTCAGTGCTGTCAAGTCAGACAGCCATAGTCGTCTATGCAGAGGGAAAGTGAAAGCATCACATTTCCTTCTTTTCTCGGATTTGCCGTCTTTTTCTCATCTCTGGTGCCAGTGTCTTCTCACAGGATTTATAAGAGAAGAAAAGTCTCTCTGTTCTGAAAATGGTAGAAAACGTTCCAAAACTTTCTTAGCGTTCTTCCTAGCAACAGATCCAGTGACTTCCTCCACGTTTCTTCTGAATGGCACTGCTCTCAGGGTGTTTATCACTTTCTGCCACCTGCTAGCCATACAACTTTATGAGGACCAAACATATGCCAGCCAGTTACAAAACTAACTACATACATACATTGCTTTGTAGTCATTTATCTGCATAAACAATGAATGCACCTCGGGGTTGGTGGAAGTAAGGTAGACTAAGAATCACAAAGCTTGCCTCTGGGGTCTTGGCCTTATGACAAATCATTGAGAAGTTACCTGCTCTCACTGAAACTTTATTTTTGTCTGTAAAATGTTGAGAAAATACTTATTTTTCAGTATTAAGTGAGATAACTTCTGTGAAAAATAAACCACAAAATGCCATTCAACACAAAATGGTAGTATGTCTCATCTCTGTCTATTACCTGCCAAATCTCAGTCATCTTTGTATTTCTTGTGGCCCTCAGGGCAGTACCTTGCACCTACTGGATCTAAACAGTAATTGTTGACTGAACAGTTTAATAATTCAACACAGCAGAGAAGAAAGAAGCAAGCCAAATAGGCCTCTGTATGGGCAGCAGAGATGGAGTGAAATCTACACACACAGTCACATGCTTTCTTTGTAGACTGGCCCATGAGGGCTTGCCTCTGAAGCTTTCCAGTCTGCTTCACACAAATCAGCCCTAGGAGAATCAGAAGTATATAATTAGAAGCAGTGAGAATGGGTTTAGTTGCTCCAGGCAGACACACTGACCACCATAAGAAATTGGAGTTTGATAGCCCGACAATAATGGTAGAGACAGAAAAACTAAGAAAAGCAGACATGAGAATTTAAAAAGCTCTTCAGTGTGGGGCTTTTTACTATAAGAAGAGATACCATGAGGCTTACTGAAAGCTAAATTAGACAAAGCGTTTGAGATCTCTGGAGAATGATTTCACTTTGGCAGAAGTATACCAGATGACCTAAAATGACAGATTCTGCTAATTTCCATGATTGCCTCAGGGAAGGATGAAGCTACCTTGGCTCTGTTTTTGCAATATGTTTTTCAAACATAACTTCTTGGTCTGCTGCACAAGTAATTACTTTCACCACAAAGTTCATGTTGCCAATTATCTCTACTATGGCCCAATTTTCTCTAATGATGCTGGAACCCAATTCTTCTGGGTTTCACAAGCTCTACCAAGTAAATGTTAAAACCTTTATCCAGGAAATGAATTGCTTGGTCGTATCAGTTTATGTAGCTATTTATATCTTCAGGATGATTTGCAATCAATTTGGAGAACTGGTAATTAGTAATTTTAAGTAATGACTTTGACACTAAATATATTCATTTTTATTTATTAACTATCTGTTTTTTTCACTATTTTTATGCTACCATTTGCTCTCTGAGATAGTGTTTAATTCAATGTTCTTATCATAGTATGAACATCATTGTAGATGGCACGCTTATCTAATTTGTAGATAACATGAAGGTGAAAGGCATAACAAATATTTTGGAAGGGCAGAATTGAGAAGCCAAAAGTTTTGAGCAGGTTGGAATAATGAACCCCATTCTAGAAAGGTAAAATATTAATGGGGTGAAAATAAAGCCTTCACTAAGTTCTAACAAAAATACCTACAAAAAGATAAGGGAGATATTGTCAAGCCGATATTCAGCTATAAGCAACATTTGGGGCTATAGAGAACAGAGATTCACTCAGAGCACCCTAAGGAAGAAGGAGTTACCACACAGCATCCCTGTCTGGGTCTCTGGAAAGTGGGATGTTATCAGGGTTATCAGAAAATTATTGGTGGAGAGTTATGAGGCAACTTCAGGGACTGACTCTTCTCCCTTGTGATCTCTCTTCTGGCCTTTCTGCTTACTTCTGCTCTTCAGCACATTCTCCTGTAACTCCTGATGTTCAGCACAAATCCCAGAGAGAGCCTGTTTAATTGAATTGTCTGATGATCTTCTCTTTTCTAAGCAGAGATCTTTACACAAAGTTACCTCATGGGTCATCATCCAGACTCTGTGGGATGCCCTTGAGTCAGCACTCACCCTGACATTTAGGTCCTATCAGAGGCCGCCTCTGCTGAAACAGTAGTTTGGCACTACTTTTCAGAACAGTGGGCTGTGGTTGAGGAAGTTCACACTAGAATGTGAATCTGTATGTCTCAAAGGGCCAGAATTGGGACCAAGAGAGAGTCAACTCCATACAGAGTTCTCTAAAAATGGAATAGGCCATAGGCAGAAAGATTGTTTAATAAGATGACCTTACAGGCCTATTCCAATTGCCAAAACTGTGTTTTTTTTTAATCATTCTTTTATTTCTTCCCAGGAGTGTCTAATGAAAACCATCTTTTCACATTATTATTAAAATGAGCCATGAAGATAATTCTGCCACAGCATAAGTAGGACATGCCTAAGGTGTCAGAAACAGTAATGCTTTTGCATTAACCTCTTAAATAAAATATATTTCATATGTGGAATATTTATAAATTAGATTTTATTATAGTCAATAATGATGCTTCAAAGAGAGGAAAGATTTACAGAATGTAAATGTAATGTAGCAGCAAACTGCAGCAAGGATGCTTCTCTAAGCTGATTGGAGATGAGTCTAAGAATGTTTGGTAAATTTTTTCCAAATGAATTGTAAATGATGTTTCAGATATTTCGGTTAGGCTTTTAAACTCATATGTCATAATGGACTCAATCATTTAGGGCAGATTTCAGTGATGACTCTTCAAATAGTTGCCTGAGCTGAAGTCTCCAAAATAGTGTAATTAAATCTCAGCATTCAAACTCTACTACTTTGGTAGTGTGTGTGTGTGTGTGTGTGTGTGTGTGTGTGTGTGTGTGTGTGTGTGTGTGTGGTGAAGGGAAAATTAAAATCATTCAATAAAATGTCAGTCCTCACCCAAACAACATAAATTAGTTTTATAATCTGAGAAAATCTGAAAGCACTGGGAAGACTTCAGGATATTTCGTTTTACTTTCCACTGTGAGGATGCATTGTGACAAAAGAAGACAAAGCAGATAAAAGGGCAGAGTAGCTTTCCCTCCAGCTGCCTGTTAGCTGCATTCCCTCAAGGCAGTGCATAGTTAGGAGAGAGAACAGCTTTGTTAAAATTCTAGTCCACCATTTTGAAGACAAGACTAAACTCTCTTGGCTTCAGTTTCCTGTTTTATAAACTGGGGATGATAATAGCCCTTAGGTCAGAGGGTTCTCGTAAGGATTAAAACACTTCTTAGCGCAGTGTCTGGCTCATATATGAAGTGCTTAATAAATTAGCTACTAGGATCATTTTTTATCTTTATTATTCCTTAAGGGGTGGGAACCCTGAAGTTATGTTCGTCTCTGCCCAGAGAGTCATGGCATGAGTCCCTAGTCACCGGTGTGGCCCCACTGCTGCCGATCATACCTGGCCAAGTCTGAAATAGAGTTATGTACAGCTCCAGTTCGTGATCTTGATTCTGTCCTGGAATTTGCTTGGACCTTGCATAAGTCACTGTATCTTCCCAAAGCCTTGGTTCCCTCCTCTTGAAAACTGGGGAACTATTTAATTTTATAGGGTTTAAAAATTTTGGATACTGTTAATTTAAATTGAATTTGTCGTAAAACAAACTTGAGTTACCAGGTGCAAAATGTGTAGAGAAGACAATATTACAGTTAGACAAAATGTCTTACAACATCTCTGACTTTCTTTTGACAAATGGTCTATGTTTGGGCTCCATCCCATCTGAAATTCTGATTGAATTGTTTTGGGGTTTAGATGGCCCCTAGATGGGGCCAAGCCATCAGTATTGTTTAAAAGCTCTCCCAGTGGTGCTAATGTGCCTACAAGGTTGAGAAGCACTTAGCAAGCCCAAGGTCAGACTATGAGTAGTGAGACAGGTCTAGATCTTCCGACTTCCTCTTCTCACTACAGAACGACCTCAAGTTCTGGTTTCAAAGAGGCTTTCTGAACACTTTTTCACCCTTTCTCATGAAAGGAATGTATGAAACACACTGTTCAAGTCCTTCTGTTGGTTTCTGTTTAATTAAGGTTTCTTTCTGTGTAGTTCTACCCTAACCTTATGCTTGTTTTTCTTATTCCCAGATGCCTTTTTTCAGCATCTTCAAAGCCACTTCTAAAATGTAATTGCATTGCTGAGTTCCTCTTTGACATTGTCAGCCTTGATCAAATACTTAGTTCTTCATTGTTTGTTCTTTTCAGTCTGTATTAGATTCTTCCCAGCTGCAGCCTGTGTTGATGTGATTATAAAGCATGGTGTATTCCCATGAAGTACGAGAGTAGAATGAAATCAAGTACCTGTTTTCCTTTTTGATTTGTGTGCACAGTTGTTTCCTGCTATTTAGGGGTCATTCAGACTTCTATCCTATACCAAAATGTAATTAGGATTATGTTACCTTTTTTCATTACCTGTTGCCATTAAATTACTTAAAGTTTCTTAGATATTGATGTCCTTAAGAACAGTAATGCTTGGTTCAAATTAATCATGGACTTTAATATATATTAAGTTCTTGTCAATTGTAGTAGGATAATAGAACGAAATCTCCGGTTAATAGCATTAACTAACCCCAAACAATTTCACTGTGTTTATTACTTTACAGGAATCTTTGTGATATTCTTCTTCAAGACCCCCTCCCCTGTGTGCTGAAGACTTTGACCAAAGCTGCTCTCAGCTGTTGGCATCATCCTGAGAAAAGGACACGGCTGCAAAAACCAGAGAACTGTTCGGGAAACTCCTGGCCCAGTGGATCCTCTGTAAGTGAGAGCCAATCAGTTTCTCTCTTTGTTTTTAGAAATCTAAATTAGCTGTTCTGTCTTCCAAAATATACTTCTTAGGAAAGGGTAAATAGAAGAATAGATTATTGCAGATTCTCTATAAAGAATCAATAGTTTTTCTTTTCTAGGAGAATTTTTTTAGTAGTTATGAAGGAAATCAGTTGGCTATTTTGACCAAACAGGAATATATTTGAAATTATAGCTCTGCTCTATGAAGACTTATTTGAACACACACACACAGAATCTCACCCCTTCCTTCAAAAAAATCAGTAACATTTCTCTCCTTAGAGAAATTTCTCATGATAGTAGTCTCCCCCTTATCTACAGGAGATATGTTCCAAGACCCCCAGTGGATGCCTGAAACTGCAGATACTACTTTAAGGCTTCTTTTTGGCATATTCAAATTGCCAGTATCACACTCTTGTGTTTTGGAGCCATTATTAAGTAATATAAGGGTTACTTGAATACAAGCACTGTGATACCACGAAAGTAGATCTAATAGCCAAGGTGGCTGCTAAGTGGCTAACGGGCATGGATACACTGGACAAAGTGATAATTCATGTCCTGGGTAAGATGGATCAGGATGGCATGAGATTTCATCATGCTACCGAGAACCAAGCAAAACTTAAAACTTATGAATTGTTTATTTCTGGAACTTTCATTTAATATTTTTGGACCTGGTTAACTGTAGGTAACTGAATCCATGGAAAGCAAAACTATGAATAAATATATGTGGCGGGGGAGTCTACTGTATTTAGAGTCTCTGTCAGGCTTCATATCTACCTTATCCTGCTTTCTAGTATCAAACAATATAACTTATGTGAAAGCACTTTTAGACCATGAAATATTATTTGTATAAATAAGAAAAATTATTTCTTAACATTTATAATCCTCCAAAATACTCTCATACCCTCCAATCTGTTTTTCTCCATAGTTTGATTCATTTTTAATTTGATTCAATAAATTTTGCTAGGATCTCAAGAAGCAAAGGAGATAAGTCCTCATCTTCAAGGAATATCTATCAAATGCAAGAGACAGACACAACTAAACATGACCAACTTGACTATGATAAAAAGATGTTGAGAGTGCATTAAGGAATGGAAAAGGTGTCAAATGCAGCCTGTAGCCAGAAGATTGTGTGTGTAAATGCAGCCTTTCTGGAGGAGGTGGCCCCTGACATGCTCCTTGAGAGGTGACTAAGAGTCGGCTTGGTAAAGAGCAGGGTGGAGTGGAGGAGGACGCTACAGACAAGAGTGGTGGGATAGGGGTATGAAACTCACATGCAGAAAGAATAAGTTGTTCTAGGCATGGGGGGTGTGTGTGTGTGTGTGTATGTACATGCATGCATTCGTGCATGCACACATGCGTGCACACTGAGGGGTTTTAAGCTGTCAGTCATTGGCATTTTAGGAGTGTTACCCTGGAGAGACTGTAGAGAAAGAGCTGGAAGTGAGCAAGATTGAAGGAACATTTGTTTTATAAACTATCTGGTGAAGAGATGGGAGGGCTAAAGTTAGAGTAGAAGCAGTGAGGAATAGAGAAAGAGAGAAATGTGAAAGAGCCAGAATGTGCTGGATTTGATGATAGTTTGGGCATTGGAAGTGAGAAAATGTTAGGGCTTGGGATTCTCAGGTATCCGATTTGGGTGACTGAGAGCATGAAGATGTAAAGGAAATTTTGAAGGAAAGAGGACTTATTCTTGGGGAGAAGAGGACTTTGAGGTACATAAGGGACATTTAGGTAGAAATGTCCACCAGGCAGCTAGAAGTATAAGTCTGGAGATTGGCAGAGGGTTTAGGGCTGGAAACATTGATTTAGGAGTTATAGGTAATATTTAAAATCTCTTTTTAAAATACAAATTTGATTTTGTACTTAAGCTTTCAGTATTATTCATTCATATACTTAAAACACAACTGGATTTCCATTTCATTTTGATATTACCTACCATTTTATTTGTGTACATACTTGTTAGTCTTACTTTCTTGGCATAATGAATTATGATTTTTCCTAGAGACAAATGTGATGACTTTTTTAGTTTCTTGAAAGGAAATTTAAAGCAGTGTTTTAAAAAACGCAAGGTAAGCCTTAAAATTTAGAGGAGTTATAAGCCATTGCCATTCTCCTTTTAATTCACAGTAGTTATAGAAATTATTTTAGAAAAGTACTTTGCTTTCCAAAGTATATAGTTCTTTTTCTGTATAAATCATGGTTTCTTGTCAATTTTTCACTTTCATTGCTTTGTCCAGGATTTGAGCATTGCTTATAGTAGACTGAGCAGGATCTTTCTTGCATTCTTCAGTGGGGTGGTGCCAGGGTCCCCTGTTTTGAGTCTTCTCAACATTAACCCAGAACGTCATGAAGGGCTTCTGTTGCAACAGAGGCCGCACTGTTTGAGATCAAGTCCACTCAAGTTAGACTTGAAATACATTACTCAGAGCCTTCTTTGAGGGAATATCATGGGTAAAAATTTTAAATTCAAATAATACTTACAATAGTACTATTTTGAGTGAATTTTATTAGATTACTAAGGCCTTAATTGGCTTACTGACTTTTTTCCTTAAGACCTATTAGGAAATTACAAAATGTACCCTTTTGATAGTCCACTTCACTACATCTTTCCAGAAATTTGAAATGAAAGATCAACTAATCTGTCACTTTCATTTTTATTCACAAGAGAATTAATGTGAAGCAAAATTAAGTAACTTACTTAATGCTAAGAGATGGAGCCAGAGCCCTGGTCTGTTGAAACTCATTTTGCCTTTTTCACTAAATCATGTTTCCTCTCTTATTCCAAATCTTTATTAGACTGTGAAGTTATCTGTATGTCTTAAAATAGGAAATTTAATTAAGTAAATTAGTTAGCACTGATGGCATTTCCTTTGGCTAGTCACTCTATGTTCAACAAACAGATTTTGTATTAATACTTTAGACTCTGATTAAGGCTTTATTATTTTTAATTTTTATAAGTTTAAAAATTTTAACATAGATTTTGTTTTCGGCATTTTTTATTTACCTATACCAGTTCCATTACTAAAATAAAGGCTTGAGAGAGGATCACAACCACCTATGTTTAAAATTTAGTTGAAAAAGAATAATCATCTCAACATCTATTATCAAGATAGTTTTCCCCTAACAGCAGTCCCCAACCTTTTTGGCACCTGGGACCCAGGCTCTAATGAGAATCTAATGCCCGATGATCTGAGATGGAGCTGAGGTGGTGATGCTAGCACTAGAGCATGGCTGCAAATACGGATAAAGCTTTGGTTGCTCACCTCCTGCTGTGCGTCCTGGTTCCTAACAGACCTTATGGTTCATTGGGTTCACGGCCCAGGGATTGGGGACCCCTGCTCTAGTAAATACTTTCGATAACAGTGTAGTAGGCACATTTACTAACGATGCAAGTACTGGCTGTATGACCCAGTTTCCTGAAACATCCAATTTTTTTTCAGTTTTTTTTCCTCTTTTTACATAAAAGATAACTTTCACACCTAAAAAAAGACACTCATCAATTATAAAACCAACACTTTTAAGAATAAGCTATTTCTCATTTGGTCAAATACATTGTGATACCCTGCGAATTTTATGTATAGAAATTTATGGAAATGCTGAGTTGGTGTAACTTAGAATGGTACATACATGCAAGTTGTAGGTGATCTCAAGGACAATGAGTTGTTCTTTGAAGTTCACAGAATGGTCAGTCATTGCCGTGAAACCAGTGGGCTTACATCGTCAAGGTACGTGTATAAAACATGATTCACTCAGCCTGATAGCTGCCAATAATAAAAGGAGTTTCCACTTGTTTCTGTTCAAGACATAAGAAATATGTTTCCCTGTTTTGCCTGTTTTGGTCTCTTTTTTCTTCCTTCCTCCCTCCCTCCCCTCTGGGTAAATTTTAAATATCTCACAGCCATTCAAGTTCTTTCGTTCGTTCGTCCGTCCGTCCGTCCATCCGTCCCTCCCTCCCTTCTTTCCTTCCTTCTTTTTTCTTTCTTTCTTTCTTTCTTTCTTTCTTTCTTTCTTTCTTTCTTTCTTTCTTTCTTTCTTTCTTTCTTTCTTTCTTTTTTTGTGGGGTGAGGAGCTCTTTTTCTGACTCTTCTGTCTCTGTCTCTGTGTCTCTTTTCTTGTCTCACTCATATTCTCTGTGTGATAGACACATATGAATATGATGTCTGCAAAATGTGAGACCCTTGACAGTTTATGTTAATGTAAGTGGCTGTGGAAACAGTATATCATGGGTGTGGGAAGCAGGTAAGCCGTCTTTCACTTGGTAAGGGGTAAGAGAGCTGTGGGGAGACATTGTCTAACATGTTTGCCCTCTGCATAGCTTGGCTGCATTGGGCAGAATGACGAGCTGAACAGGGATGCAGACATATGGAAGCTGCTGCAGTCAGTGAACATAAGATGGTATGATGGCTAGTAAAGGACAAGTCAGCTTTCACCACTTTTGTTTGAGTTGGTGGTGGGGCCTTCTTCTGAACCATCTTACTGCTGGCAAAGTATAGAATGCAATGGTATTAGGTGGCTGCTCAGATTCCACAGTGAGGGTTACAAGTACCATTATGCAACAAAGCAATGGATAGAGTTTACGTTGGCTCTGGAGTTGCTACTTAAAAGTATTCAAGACTGCCCTCCTATCCTGTGGTTAGAGCACAAAATTCTGCTGGAAGAGGGTTATTTGGGGGACACTCATAGAAAGTAGAAGCCATAGGCGGGTTTTCAGGATGACATTTTTGAATGGGCAGCCTTCCAGCAGGCTGAAATCATATTTAACAGTAAAATGTGTTACGCTATGCCCTTCTATAGTGTAGGATTTTAAAAAGAAAGGGGAGAGGAAGTGCTGAGCCACCAACTTTTGACACAAATTCAATCCTACTGTAGAGGTCATAGACTGCATCAGCAATTTGTGGACCATTTTTGGCAGAGGACAATGACAATGGATTCCTAATCAGATGATGTCCTGCTAAATTTGAATTGTCAGT